TAAATGCATGTATATATATATACATATATATATAAAAAATGCATGTATATATATATATAAATGCATGTATATATATTATAGACGGTTGAGGCCACATGTGCAAATCAAATATATATATATCAGTGCTGGTACATTCCCCATCCTGGCGTACGTACTGTACACATACATATACAGTACCCCACCACCTTATACATATATATATTGAAATATTTGTATCGAATATAATATAATTATATTCATCTATTCAGCCAATTCGGGGTCCACCTCGAAACATCCTGGAACGATGGTATGTCCATTCTTGTACATCTATTCAATACACACATATATATATATATATATATCCCCAATCCCATCGTTGTATCCCATATATATCGACACTCTCCCTGGCGTACACTACATACATGCGTGGCAAATGCTTCCAAGATGCGGTCGATCTGCTGGGCCTCTCCCGGCAGTCGAAACGCGCCTAAAAACGTGCGGAGGGCGTCCACAAGGGGCATCTGGTGCAGTTCAAACGTTTCGACGTACGCCTGGCGCAGCTGAGCTCGGAATTCGATCGAGTCATGGCGGGGTTTTGATTGGTTGTTGGTGACGGGTGTCTTTGACCGGGGAGAAGACTCGGGTTGTGGTAGCTTGCCTAGAGATCCCAGCACTTGGCCCACCGTATTCTATACATCAAGAGATTGAAAATGTAGGACAAAACGATGTGTAGTACCTTGTCCATACCCCGGGGCAGCGCCCGCAAGAACGTCGCTACATGATAATAGATATATAGATTTAGTTGGGGAGTTAATATATATATATATATATACCAAGAGCGTGGGGGGTCACGGGGGTGGGTAAGAACCCAGAGGACGCGAGCAAGTCGATGCCCGCCGATGGTTTGGTGTTGAACGTGGTAATTGCATCCTACACACAGTTTTACATCATCATCACAAATATATATATATATATAATACTATTTCAAACATAGTGGACGCAACGAATAATATATATTCGAATCGTATCAAAACGGAAACGTCGATATATATATATATATATTTAAACACAGTGGGTTGAAATAACGAATAATCTATTCGAATCATAACAGATATATATCAAAACGGAACGCCGAAAACTATAAATATATATATATATTTCAAACAAAGTGGGTGTAACGAATTATATACTCAAATCCTTTCAAAACCGAAGCAACATACCAACCATAACCATCCTCCTCATATCAACCGGTCACTCCCGTCCTCGTCCCCATATTATTCTCATCCAGACATATATATAATATATTGTCGATTTGATACAAATTTGGGGAGGGGGTGCAATCGAATAATCGCGCCGACCAAACCGATCCACAATCGATCTGATTGGTTGAATTTCATTGAGAAATGGGTTTTGATTGGTTAATAATGTTGAGCTCAACTGAAGTAGCCAATCAAATCGATTTAAATTCCAACGAGAAACCACGCCACAACACGAAATTTCACTCGAAAGCACACAATAGTCATTACACTATAACTCAAACATACCCCACCCATAGACAACATATATATATATATATATATTATCCCCATGATACAGTCATCGACCGACGCATGATTCATATTCTGCTTTGTGTCTATACAATTCCAACCATCTCAAAAAAGCCACCAGTACGAAAACAGTGTCACACATTTACAGCCCCGTACTTGAAACAATTGTTTGCGCTGTCGTTGTGCCAACAGTGTCTCAGGCGACGGCAACCTCTCGTCCCCACAAGACAGATGCTGTTGATGTAATTGGGCGCGGCGGTAGAGCATCTGCAGCGCATTGAGCACCCCAAGGCACGCGAGCTCGGTCGTTTCAGAGTGTTCATCATCGCCACTGATCTCAATAGCCTCGAAGAAGAGCGCGTCCAGGGCGGCGGCGACGACGTTGGCGCGGGGATTGGGCGCGCAGTCGTACGTAACAAACCCATCGATCACGAACAATGGGTCCCTGAGAAAGTCCACCATGAGCTGCGCCATCTCGACCTTCCACGTCATCCTCATATGCCGATCGTCATGATGTTCATCTTGATCATTGAGGCAAGTCGTGAGCACGGGTACGATGCCGCCGAGGACCAGCGCCTCCCACTGCCACTTGAGATGCGGACCTAGGTGTACCCAAAGGAGGCGCCACAGGGGCAGCGTCGCCATGCCCACGGATAGACTACTCGTGACTTGGTAGATATTGTTGTCGATGGTAGTTCTATATGGATGGATTGATTAATGGAAGAAGCGTCGGGTAGGTAGTTGTACGAGGAGGTAGTAGTAGTAGTCGAGGTAGAGGTAGTTGAAACAGAGCGGCAAATGTGCAGCAGCGCATGGCACAGGTCGTCTTGGATGTACATCAAGAGAGGAGGGGCGAGGCTACCGCCGGCGACATGCAAAATGGTCGATAGTAGCTCCAACGCTACGAGGATTTCACGCTCCGTGGTGGATGGCGTAGGTGCAGGAGAGGAGGATGATGTAGTAGTCGATGGAGAAGGGGGGGCGTGGAGCTGCACCTATATATATATACACTCGTCAAGTCAACGTATCCAATCATAGGATGCAACATGACGCGGCCAGACCGGTAGGTTCAGCATGACTTGGATATGTTATTAGTACAAACAGTCATAAAAAATAATGAACGGGGGGTGTACACGTATATATGGAGGAGGTGCAGGGTACACATATATGAGATGGGATGTAGGTGCAGGACCATAGACAATACAGCGTCGGCGGAGGTTAAATAGGTACAGGGACACAGAGAATAGGATAGTGTCAACAATACCAGACCTTTTGCACGAGGAACGCAAGGATGCGCGTGTCGAGCGAGGCGGCGGTGGAGGTCGCGGGGGATGACGGCGACGACGTGGGGGTAAACACGATGCGCATGAGGCGGTGCAAGCTCTCGGTGGCGAGGGATCGCAAGACACTCGGAATTTGGGTCTATATGGACGGACGTGTGCATGAGAAAGGACAACATGGCGAGACGTGTTACTTCGTAGGAGCGGGAGATGCCGTAAAGCGACTCGACGACGTGCCACATGGTGCCGGCGTGGAGCTGGCGGGTGGCGTCGCGGCATTGCATGACCATGTCGAGCACGCGCACGACCATGAGCAGCACATACTGGTCCGACTCGGGGTCGGTTTCTTGGAACCGGCATTGGGTCACGGCATCCACGACGTCCGACAGCGCATACTGCATGGAAAGACCGCTGGTCGATGTTGTGGAAGACTCGTACGCTTGCAAGATGGTGCACACCGACTCCATCGCGGTGCGCGTAAGCGGCCCCGTGGTGTTTTCGTTGCGCACGATGTCGAGGAATGGGCGCAGCACGGTCTGCGACTCAAAGTCCGCCAGGTCTGTCCACTGGTACACATGCACACGCAGGGACGCGAGGCCCTGGAGCTGCGTCGACTTGAGCTAGACACAGGATGAGGGACAATGTCGACAAGCACATGATTCCGAGCGGCGCAGCTACGTGACCGCCGTCGATTCCGAGATGCATGTAAACGTACCTTGACGTAGTCTTGCCGGAAGACATGGACAAGCGCCTGTATTTCACTGAGGATCGCACTGCGAAGGACCTCCATGTTCCCTTTCTTTACAGCGCAATTACGGTGATGCACGTGAATTTCACATACATTAGTGTTATCATATTGTTCTTAAGGTGTCGAAATGGACACTTTAGGGATGTTTTATTTTATCTTGGCATTTGTATCCCATGGAACAATATTCACAAAACACGACTATGTTCACAAATAAAGGTCTGATTTGTCCACAACATCACTTGATTAACGTATGCCTTTATCCGGAATATTTAGTTTCACAAAACGTGACCAAGAACAGTCTCCAAGTTGAGGGGACTCGCAATCCTGCACTCATTTCGTTGACCGATGCGTCAATTCCTTCAGTCGTTCCTGGCCAAAGCGGGGGTGGCGGCGGCCCCGGCGGCCTCATCAGGTGCCTCTGCGTCCAAGAACATCGCCAAGGAGCGATTACAGATCATCCTGGCACACCAACGCGGGTCTGTGGCGCTGAGCGGGGTCAATCTCAACGCCCTCCAAGCCGAGCTGCTCGCGTGCGTGCAACGCCACATTGCGGTCGCGGATGGCGAAAAGGTCAACATTGCGGGTACCTTGCTCCTTTTCTCCATGATCTGATTGATGGTATCATGGTGGTTGTCCCGACGTAGTCAAGCACGAAGGCAACCTGGACATTTTCGAGATGCAAGTTCCTGTCCAGCCACTTGCTGCGGCCGCCGCCACCTCCCCTCGCGCACCGTCGGTCTAATACAGACGTCTTATTCTACCTCCACATGATAGCACTGTGTTATTACGACCTATGCGTCCTACGTTGTCTTTGTCGTCGTCGTGTACGCAGCGAAGGGCTGGCACTACGTCACACATCGGTCGTGACATCCTTCCTCGAGCCCATGTCGTCGACGTACCTCCATGTGGCTGACGCTATCCACAACCCACGTCGCGCGAACAATCGGCATCGTTCTTCTTCGCAGCGCAGAATGCATGTTCACCAGGTTGCGGCATGCCGCCATAGACAGCGTCTTGGAGACCACGCCAATCACGTGCATACCCTCCATCGCTTCGTCGCTACTTCTTGTTCTCGAGGTTTCTTCACCATCTTTCTCAAATGGACGCCACCGCCCGCCACATGCGGCGACGATGGCCGCCATGGCGTCGCCTTGTTCGATCGCATCATGCAATGCCCACACACACATCCCCCCAAAGATCTGCGTTGCATTCATCTATCCATCGTCCATACACCCGTCATATTCTTCCCATCGCACATCAACATAGGACACACAACCAAATATAATGTATGTGGCCAATATAGCCAATCAGATTGCTGGAAGAACCATCATCAACATCGAATTAGTGTGTGTGTGCCTGTAATTAGTGTGAATACAATCCGGAAAGTCCACATGTTGGGTATTACAACGCCAATAATACTTCGAAGTCCTTACCAGTCGACAGCGCCTAGGCACGGCTGTCACTGTCATCGCACTGGTATCACCAAGTACTTCAAACGGCGACTCATCCAGCCAACGTTGCGCCTTCCAGCTCGCCACGACCCATCTACAAGCAAGTCCCCATGATGTTCCGTCATATCCGATAGATAGATATCTCATGGATATGACGTACTGGAGGCTCACGATCCAGCAGCCATGGGCCATGCCAAGCAGCACCGACTCGGTGCGCGGACATCGCGTGGTCGCGTCCACACTCGTCACAACGTGGGTCGTCCCGTCGGGGGATCGACTACCATATAGAGGACAAACGTTGGTCGCCAAATGTTAACACATACTTGCGTACGGGAAGTTCGGTCGGTTTGGACGCGGAACAAAACGCAGGCCGAATCGACCGCCCAAGCCGCGCACGCAGTCGAGCAGGAAGCGGCGGTCGGCTTTGTTAACATTTGTAGCCACAATGCGAACGGCTTTAGATGGGCTTTGTGGGGGGAGATCTACTATGCGTTCAGTAATCGTCTCGATAGTGAGCCCTATAATAATATAGAGCAACGAGTGAGGAATCACTTGGTCACCTTTTGTGAATGTCGTGGTGGGGGGTGTCCTTGAGGGGGTATGGATGCGAAACGACGGTGAGTGGACGTCGGGATTCTCAAAACGTGGCCCACATTCGCCTCCTTTTGTTAATAGCCGAGGCGGCGGTTGATAAGTAGGGGTGAAGGATGGCGCCGTGTCATCATACTGGGAGGGCGGTAGCAACAGACCACTTTCATTTGGTAGGTACACTTGGAGCTCGGTTTCGGGTACGCTGGCTTCTTCATCATCTTCGTAGTCCTGCGTGGCGGCCACGGTGCCAGGTTGGAAGGATGCCGCCGTCATCATGGCCGTCGCATCCGTTCGAGGCGGCGACTGGGGAACGAGAAGGACGGGCGACGGTGTTGTCTTCATAGACATGACAGTCTCGTTGGATGCATGTGGGGATGCTGGATGCAAAGAAGGGGAGATGATAGGTTTGGGAACAGGAGCATGCTGCTGCTGCTGCTGCTGTGAAGAAACCTCGGGAAGACAATCACGTTGTTGGAGGTCGTTGCTCACAACGTTGCTTGGTGCTAAGGTTTCTGGGGGAGAAGCTGGAGTTGTTGCAGTGCAATTCATGGGAGTTCCATCGCTGGGACTGTCCGTAGGGCTGGTGGCGTCCAGGGCCGCCGCGTGGCGCTGCAGACGGATCCGATACGACTCCAATTGAGGCGTATTCATCAAAGATGATATGGACTCTATAGTTTCATGATGACGAGGAGAAGTCTGTGGAGGGGTATGGAGAATTGCATCGTACCAGGTTCGGAGGAATGCGGTGGAGTGAGGGAGCTGACGGGTGGTGGCGGCGGCGGCGTGGCAAACTCCAACGGCAGTTTGCGCTTGACAGCAGGCGAAGAAGATAACACACTAGTACCAACAGCCGCAGGATCGATGGTGGTATGGAGAACTGGAGATGGTGGTTGCTTGGCCAACGCCGCTTCGACGAGTCGCCATTCTTGCAAGAGGCCATCGAGGAATTGATTGCGATGGACGTCACTGGGACACATGGGGATCTTGCACTTGGGGCACTGCGATACCGCCTTGCGCAACTGCACATCGATGCACCGTTTGCAATAGTTGTGGTTGCAACCAAGGCAGTGTGGGTCCACAAGGGTCTCCCGGCTACAAGGAAATGCTCAAGCGTTATATACAAGAGATAAGGATGCATGTTGCACACACGATAGCAGCATGAGCCATCGCTCACCAGATGAAACAGCGTAGCTCCTCACGGATCACATTCAGTTCCCGCGTCATGGTGCCATCGACTTCCATTACTCTCTGCCAAGATTGTCTGCGAAATTTGGATTATCCGGATAGTGCCTGCTATTGGTTGAACTACCGGAAGTTTCAAGAAGACAGCCAATTGGTAGTGTGAACATTGACGAAGTAGGCGGCGGAGATAGATAAGCATGTTAAGAATCGTCTACAACGAGGGAGATTCAGGCATCGTGGAGCTAGTGCGTTGATGGAGCAGTCCATCTTCGTCTGACTTGGCATATTGATGCACAAAGCAAGCCGAGAACTGTTTCTTCATACGATCGACCACGATCTCCTTCAACGACAAGTCACTTTCCTCCAGCGTCAAGTCCACGAGGCGCTCCGTGACGTTGGTCAAGGCGGCCATCTGGTCGAACACGTGGCTCACATCTTCGTCGATCTTATTCAGTCCGAGCGCGGGGCCGGGCAGGTTGCCCGCGCTCATCCGTGGCGACGTGACGATTTGCGCCAGGTCGTTCAACGTGGTCAAGTCGCATTTCTTGTGGTGGCTCACAACATGGATGGCCTCGAGAACTCGCTCCTGCAGAACTTCGAGCTGCTTGGATTGATGCGTGCACTTGTTGCCTGTCACGTCCTGGTGCCACGTCAGCCTTCCACTCTCCCGGTGTCACACATTCGAAACGTACCACGAGCATGGCGGCCCGCTTCTGCACACCTTCCAAGTCATTCGCAAGCTTTTGGGTCTCTGCTTTCGCCGCCAGTCGCTTCTTCTTGAGCACTTCCATCGTTTCGTCCTCGGCTTCTTTCTTCTTGGCCTGCAAACTCTTGATCTCTGCCTCGTACGCCTAGTAATAAAACCATCAAAATAACCCCCCAACCCCCCCCCCGACACATCACGCATACCTGCTGCGCTTTAACCATCTGACTGCGCAACGCTTCCAAATCTTCGTGGCCCTTCTTGATCACCGCTTCATGCTCAGCAAACTTGGCCATCGTCTTGGCTTTGATATCCACCAGGCGCTTCTCATGCGCCAAATCCCGCTCCTTGACTTGCTTGTCCACGTCCTCCAGCGCTTTTTGCTTGTCGGCGGTCAAATTTTGAATGTACGTCTTCACCTTGACCTTCTTTTCTTCTTCGTCCCTGACAAACTTGTCATGTGCGGCCTGCATCTCGAGCTTCGCCACGTTCCACGCAGCTTCCTTCGCTTTCCATTCGCGCGCCGATTCTTCCAGTGCCAGTGCCTGCGCGGCCGCCAGCCCGCTGGACTGACTGGCGTGGTTGGATTTCGCGTGCTGCAGTTCCATGTCAAGTTCGCGGACTTGGCTCGCCAATGCTTCCACTTGACCGCGCAAGTTCGCGCACTCTGTCGCTGCATTGCGGCCTTCGATAGCCAACGCCTCTCGGACCTGTGTCACTTCTGCGGCTTTGACGTCGACGTCGGCCGTCGCTTGGGCCAATTGGGCGCGGAGGTTCGTGCACTCCACGTCCTTCGCAGCACAATCGGACCGCAACACCACACCATCAGCCTTCAACGACGCCAGGTCCGCCTCAAGTTGATCCCGCACGCCTTCAAGCACCACAATGTCCCCTCGGTATTTGTCTGACAGCGACGCCGAGTTGGTGCGCGTGAGGTTCTTCTCATCTTCCAAGCTGGCCACAGTATGCTCGAGCGCGCGCACCTGGGCGTCCTTGGCCTGCCATGCATCTCGCGCCGCGGCCACCAGCGCTTCCACGTTCGTCCCATTCGACAACGTGAGCGCCTGAAGTGCCAGCACCACGCTCTGCACTTGGCGAGCGCTTTCTTGGTTCTCCTGGCGCAAGGTTGCCACTTGGTCGTGCATACTTTGTTCGTGTTGGGCGCTGTCTTGCGTATGCTGCCACTGCAATTGCTGAAGTTTTTGCTCGAGAGTCGCCTTCTCCGCCATGCGTTGCTGCGCTAGTTGTTCTAGTTGGCTCACTCGTTCAGCGTGAACTTGGCGGTCTGTCGCGAGTTGGACGGTTAGCTGGTCCACTTGCGCCTTCCATTGATACGTCACCGCGTCCCCTTCGTTCAGTGGCGGTGTTGCCGCAGTTGCATGCTGCTGCTGCTGTTGTAGCAACTCAATGTCCTTGGCATGCAGTTGTTTCTCTAGAAGTTGCACGCGCTCCTTTTCAACAAGGATCTGCGTCTTGACGTTGTCCGCAAACGCTTTGGCTTTGGTTTTGAGCTCGTTCATTTCGTTCCGAGACTGCATGAGCTGCGCTTCGAGAGACTTTTTGTCGTTGGTGAGAGCCTCTGCGAATGCCTTGGCCTTGACCTTGAGCTGGTTCAGTGTGTCATCCTTCGAGGCTACCTCCGCCCTCAGACGTGCAAGTTCACCTCCTCCGTCCATCGCTGGTCACTGCTGCCGCTTCTTGTGTTGGACTCAAGCTCCACACTGCCGAAGGAAGCCAACGCACCGCACCAGCAATATCTAATTATAGACTTCGCGAGCACTCACAAATTAACATAACCGACGGAATCTTTCGCTCGAACCGAAAGTGAAGCAGTGGTTTCACGCCTGAGAGAGACCCTTGTATCTGCTATATACTATACTCAACGTGTGTATTCTGTACACTCGATCTGACAGAGGCATACGCCTCACATGGCTTATCGAGAACGGACCGCCAGTTCGGCCAAGGTGCTCAAAGGCCCGGCGGACCCCGCCAGAATATGTCGACGAACAACATGGATCTTTGACGGGCGTGTGAAAACAGATCCACGCATCTCCACTCATGTCCAGGCGATGCATTCAATTCGCAAGAGACTCGCCCAAACACATCCACGGATACCACATTGGGACGACATACAAATACCATGTTGTGGAGGTATGTATATGCGGATCCGGATAAGTGTACCGTTTTGGTTTCGTTGCTTTCACAGTCCACCAGTCATTTGAAGTTGTGGCGAGCCAGCCAGCCAGCCAGCCACTTCTGGTGGCTGACATGATGTCATTGTTGAACTCCCACGTTGGCGCCACACACGGCGACCTCCTCCGCTGCTGTATGACCTTCCTCTCCTGTATGCCGCGCAGTCTCTCTTGCGACAGTTGCCGACGTCTTTATGGTCGTGCATCCTACTGCTGACTGCCAAAGCGACCGTTTATACCAGCGACCCATTCCGTTGAGTTTGCGCCCTTGTCTCTTATGAGGGGGCAGAATTAGGAATGACACATCTTGTTCTATTGTGTGCCCAGTGTGTATGTGTGATGTGTGAAGTAGGGGTAGACGATTGGAGAGATGATTATCACATTACATGTGCGCCGCCCCAGGCTGATTTTCTGTGAAGAGACACATACAGCCCTTCTTTAACAGAGTTGGGCATGATCTCCTAGGCTATATATATTTTTATATATTTTACGAAGAGATGATTATCACAGAATATGTGCGCCGCCCCAGGCTGATTTTCTGTGAAGAGACACATTGAGCCATTCTTTAACAGAGTTTGGCATGATCTTCTTGGCTATTTTGCTCGTTGTATTTGCATGTTGTATATATATACGTATGTACCATGATGACATTCAAACAACCCAGCTCGCTTTGAGACCGCGTCGTTGAAGAAATTTGTTCTCAGACACCTTCACAAGTGTCGTGACTGACCTTGTACATACAAACCATATATATATATATATATATATATATATTCTATATTGCATTTTCATATATATCGTAGCGTTTGGTGGTGGTTGTAAGGACGACTAAACCTTATCCCTGTCATATTGACCCGCGGTCATGACGATAACCATGTGTAACTTTTCAATTTCTTTACTGAACAACCACCCCAACCTTTCATGTATATTTATTTGTATGTTGCATATATATATATATTTAATTGTATGTTATATATATATATATATTAGATACCATTGCAACTTCTTTGTTTGCATTGTGGGCTTGACGATGACCAAACCTTATCCCTGTCTGATCGACCCGCGGTCCTGACGATAACCATGTGTAACTTTTCAATTTTGGTCTGAAAACCAATGTATTTATATATATATATATATAGATCGACACGACGATTTGATGGGGGGAGGACAACGTAATACCTTGACCGGGTCGTTTCCGTCTTGGCGACGGCTCGAACATGATGCTTTTTCATGTCATAGTTACACTGACCATCAATTTACAGCGTTAATCACGTGCTAATATTCGCCATAACGCCGCCATATAATATATAATAAACCCACAACCACCCAACTCAATGTTGTTTGTATATCTTCAGTATTTACAGTATTCACACAACTGAATATAAAGTACTGGTGGCTGGCTCTATTCCATTCCTTGGCTGGGATTCGTGCTAACGTTACCAGTAGCCTTATCAAACGCTTTAAAGCTAACGCTAGTTACTGTCTTCTTGTCAACGTAACTGCATCCCACGGGTCACTGGCCTTGGTATTTGCAAACCAGAGCAACTCGAGCCAATCGTACGTCGCCACGACTTTAGCGGCACCATACACCTTGTTGTTGGCCCTTCGCGACCAAGTCGGGACTGCCCCGGGTACCCGTGGCCCCGCATGGCCTACATAGCCAACGATCACCCTTGTTAGTTCACAATAATATACTATCATCAATAATGATAAGTACCTTCGTAGTTGCCGCCGGCGCCTGTGGTCACATATACCACGCCCTTGTCGGCGTTGAATTCGTTGTCGACAATCGGCGCTGTGCGCTCGTACCCGTGGACATGGCCCGCCATGACCACATTCACCCCATGTTGGACAAACAGACGCTCAAACTTGGCTTGCAGTCCACACGCTGGCTCGTACATGGGGGACCCAGCCACGTAGTGCCCCCCCCAGCACGCTTCCACGTCCTATTATGTTCCCTGGTGTAAACCAAATACAGTACTGCTGTATGGGGTTGCAATAAGACTAATCTAGTACCTCTGGGGCAACCACGTATTTGCGCTTGGAGCATTGGCATTGATGGTCCATCCACGTGTTGTAGAACGGATTGTGCTTGATCACAACCACCCAAGGAGTCAATGTGCGGTTCACATGACCCAAGTCGGTTTCGAGCCACGACAGTTGCAACTCCCGCTCGTGTTGCCACGTCACTGTGCCTACCACAACAACCCATCAAAACATTCCAACCACTAGTAGCTAGCTAGTACTACTACTAAGTAGTACTAGACTCTATTACCAACAGTGTTGATGGCGTTGCCTTGGGAACCAACGTAATCGTCGAGAAAAACCAAGTGCACGACCCCCAGATCAAACGAGTAGTACGTCCGCTTGGCCGCCTTGGCCTCGACGGACAGCGGGGTCACCGTACGTTTCAAGTACGCCACATAGTCTTCCCCTTCAAACTCGTTGGCGTAGGGGGAGTCGGGGGTGTGGCCATGACTCGATATGGTTTCGTGGTTGCCATTGATGCCCAGCTGCGGCACACGGGAAAACACGTCTTCTTGCACGGTATACCTAAACACGTATGACCAGTAATACAGTACTGTATGTATACTATCTTGGCTTTTTTCATGCCCTTTAGTACCATTTGTCCCATATTTCGTGCTCCCCGTTCGCGTAGCTATAGTCTCCCGCAATCACAATCGCCTGGGTTGCCAAGCCCCGGTACGCTTGGCCAAGGCTGTGCAACGTCTTGGAGCTGTCGCTCGTGTCCCCTGGATCGCCCACTACCCCAATGACGGTGGGCGCGTCACGGCTACCGACCATTGGCGGCGTCACAAACAAATGTTTGGTCGAGTTGTCAATCGAGTACACATAAGTCGTTTGCGGCAGCAGGTCGCACACGTAGGCCGTGTGCAGGTGCGGCGACTGGTACGAATATCGCCCTGCTTTGACATGATACGAGTCGCTGGTGCTAGCGCGGACACTCCAATTGTCGTGGCCTTGAATGGCGTACTGGACGTCGTACGGGGCCGCCACTGGCGACGCAAATGAGATGGCAACCCCATTCGGACAGTCTTGCACGGCGTTTGTGAGGGCTAGATGAACCTGGGAAACACGTGGAGACGACGCGGCCACAGTTGTGACAACCGTAGAAACGACGACAGCGGCGGCGGCACGAACAATGCGCATGACACACTTGTGGTGTTGTCACCCTACCCTCGACAGGCCAAAACAAGATTTGGATAAGATGCGACATCAGTTGTGCGCATGAAATTCAATGGACAATCGGAAATATCGATACAAAAAAGAGGACAGTTATTTAAACATGGGAGACAGGCGCTGACGTCGAATCTTGGGCCGAATCAATTTGCTCAGTTTTCCGGATAAAAGTGCGTGACGACGAAAGGACGTGATGGGTAAATTCGGTTTCAGAATATAGAACCGAAAGATATTGACCTACGGCTACAGTACGTACCATTCTTTCAAGCTATTAATAGTCATGGTTGGTCATAACGTTATTACTACGTAGTATTGTGCTTTCCGGTTAAACTTGCCAATTTTGAGCCATTGTGAAAACCGCCAACAAATCGCCGCGATGATTTGATTGGTTAGAATTTCGAAGATTTGGGGCGATTTACGAACCGCCCATGGAAATTTTGAGTAAGACCACACAATATTTCAACCAATCAATGATCGATTCCGTACGGAGGTAGTGCTACATATTGTGTGCTACTAGTACAGCGTTATGGCATGCTACAGTACTATAGTATGAGGGGATTGTAATAATATCTCCTGTGAATGCCACGCTTGCCGAAATATATCCTGTAACGTTAGGGGATTGCTTGTACAGACATCCGAAGAGAATCCAATGCATTCCATTAGGTCAATATGCCGCGTCCAAAATAGAATCAAGGGGCCGCGTTCAGTTCTTGGGCTTCCCAGCGACGACGAGGGCGACCAGCCACCGCAACAGCGCCCCCACGAGGTCCGACAGCAGCAGCCGCCCATTCTTTGTGGGGCTTGGCGTCGCCTTTCGCAGCTCCTTCCCAACGACGAAGCAGTGGACGCCCCACCACCGCCACTGGACGATACACTGGGCGATACACAGGCACGATTGGCAGGACGGGAATGGCGACGAAGGGGAGGTAGATGGGTCGGTGCAATCCCAGCAAAAATTCCTTGTCATCCTTCGAAACCATCGCTGGCGATTCGTTCGGCTTGGACACTGGCGTTTCAGGAGCGGCAGGGGGCGAGGCGGCAGCCGCCAACGCCGCAACAAATGTAAGAGCAAACACGATGGTCGAGTGCATGGTAAATCGCAAGATGAGCTTTGGACATGAAATTTATTGGAGTAACGTTAGAAGAAATAGCCGCACAACGGTCAATTTCACCAACCACAATTGCGATGATGGAAAGAGTGAGACTTTAGTCAAAGGAAGACCTTTGTTCACTTTCCAGGTAACTTCTTTATGTACAGTAACTAGTCGATTCCCATTACAGTTTGTCCGCATTCCAACTACTCCACGCGAGCAAATCAATACCAATGATCTGTTTGTCAAGTTGCAACAAGGTCGTGGCAACCTCAATTCATTGTTAGCTTCACCGAATAGGCACACGGGAATTGCAAAACGTCGATAAATTTAGGCGTCCTTAGTCGTCCACAAAAATAACACACAACCGGGTAGTCTTCTACCGTCACAACCTTTCAATCACAGTGCTGACTGGCATTGTTGCGAGTAGCCGTTGAGTGGCAAGCATATACTAGTATTAGACATTGCAGGGCTGGATGTAAACACTTCACCTTTTGATTTACCATGCACTCGTCTGTCGTGTTTACCCTTGCGTTTGTGTCGGCGTTGGCAACAGCCAGCACCACCCCAGCCGCTCCTGAGACACCAGTGTCGAACAAACTGTCGGCGGGGGATTCAAAGGACGACAAAGAGTGGCTGGGGTGGCACCGACCCATCGTCCGCCCTGTCGTCGCCATTCCCGTAGTGCCAATCGTTCCTGTGTATCGCCCAGTGTATCGTCCGGTGGCTGTGGTGGGTCGTCCACTGCTTCGTCGTTGGGAAGAAGGGGCCAAAGCGACAGACGACGAGTCGAAATCTGAGTACGTGGCCGCGGCCGTCGGACGTCGTGGGGGTGCTGTCGTGGCGGCCGGTCCCCGTCACTACGAAGACGAGTCCAAGGCTACTCCATAAGCGTATTTGGACTGCCGCAGAACCGTATAAACCTAATGGAATGCGTACATAAGACCTTGCGAATATACGAAACTTTAGTTCTCACAAACGTGTAGGGCCCAGAGGATCGACCCCATATATTTTACCGATGTGCAAAGCCAAGTCACAGTTTTATCCACTCCGGGGGGGGGGTAGAAAAGGCTAGTGTCCATTTCGAGCCAAGTCTCACACAGACCAATCCAATGTTCTAGAAGACGGTGAGCTCAAGTATCGATACCATAACTCCACTTCAAAGCTAATATGCTCTGCCATCAAGCAGCAAACTGGGGAGGTGATGGAGCAGAAGTCGCAGTCCAGTATTCATTAGATTTAGCATTGGTTCATCTCTGGGTGCAGTTTTTCGTGTTAGCGCCGAGCACGAACTGACTACTCCGATAACGTCTCCGATCTAATTCGACTGCGCCTTTGCACCTTGTTCCGCTGCCTTGGCACCCTCGCCCACAGTCGCGACGCGGACCACTGGATGATCCACCACGACGTTTCCATAACGAGGTCGCATAACTGGAGGCAACGCGACTGCAGGGGGGGCGTTGAACACGGGGCGATAGATGATGGGACGGTAGATGATGGGGCGGTACACTGTCAACCACTCCTGGGCATCCTTCACCGTGCGGTCTGCTACAGAGACCGAGGAGGGACGACTCTCAGGGGAAGTGGTGGCGGCAGTGGCCAACGCCGCAAAGGCCAAAACAGCAAGCAAACGTGACGAGTACATGGCAACTTGTTGGATGAACTTTGTGGTTAAGTGGAAGCCAGCCGACCGGAAAATAACACACAACCGGGTAGTCTTCTACCGTCACAACCTTTCAATCACAGTGCTGACTGGCATTGTTGCGAGTAGCCGTTGAGTGGCAAGCATATACTAGTATTAGACATTGCAGGGCTGGATGTAAACACTTCACCTTTTGATTTACCATGCACTCGTCTGTCGTGTTTACCCTTGCGTTTGTGTCGGCGTTGGCAACAGCCAGCACCACCCCAGCCGCTCCTGAGACACCGGTGTCGAACAAACTGTCGGCGGGGGATTCAAAGGACGACAAAGAGTGGCTGGGGTGGCACCGACCCATCGTCCGCCCTGTCGTCGCCATTCCCGTAGTGCCAATCGTTCCTGTGTATCGCCCAGTGTATCGTCCGGTGGCTGTGGTGGGTCGTCCACTGCTTCGTCGTTGGGAAGAAGGGGCCAAAGCGACAGACGACGAGTCGAAATCTGAGTACGTGGCCGCGGCCGTCGGACGTCGTGGGGGTGCTGTCGTGGCGGCCGGTCCCCGTCACTACGAAGACGAGTCCAAGGCTACTCCATAAGCGTATTTGGACTGCCGCAGAACCGTATAAACCTAATGGAATGCGTACATAAGACCTTGCGAATATACGAAACTTTAGTTCTCACAAACGTGTAGGGCCCAGAGGATCGACCCCATATATTTTACCGATGTGCAAAGCCAAGTCACAGTTTTATCCACTCCGGGGGGGGGGTAGAAAAGGCTAGTGTCCATTTCGAGCCAAGTCTCACACAGACCAATCCAATGTTCTAGAAGACGGTGAGCTCAAGTATCGATACCATAACTCCACTTCAAAGCTAATATGCTCTGCCATCAAGCAGCAAACTGGGGAGGTGATGGAGCAGAAGTCGCAGTCCAGTATTCATTAGATTTAGCATTGGTTCATCTCTGGGTGCAGTTTTTCGTGTTAGCGCCGAGCACGAACTGACTACTCCGATAACGTCTCCGATCTAATTCGACTGCGCCTTTGCACCTTGTTCCGCTGCCTTGGCACCCTCGCCCACAGTCGCGACGCGGACCACTGGATGATCCACCACGACGTTTCCATAACGAGGTCGCATAACTGGAGGCAACGCGACTGCAGGGGGGGCGTTGAACACGGGGCGATAGATGATGGGACGGTAGATGATGGGGCGGTACACTGTCAACCACTCCTGGGCATCCTTCACCGTGCGGTCTGCTACAGAGACCGAGGAGGGACGACTCTCAGGGGAAGTGGTGGCGGCAGTGGCCAACGCCGCAAAGGCCAAAACAGCAAGCAAACGTGACGAGTACATGGCAACTTGTTGGATGAACTTTGTGGTTAAGTGGAAGCCAGCCGACCGGAAAATAACACACAACCGGGTAGTCTTCTACCGTCACAACCTTTCAATCACAGTGCTGACTGGCATTGTTGCGAGTAGCCGTTGAGTGGCAAGCATATACTAGTATTAGACATTGCAGGGCTGGATGTAAACACTTCACCTTTTGATTTACCATGCACTCGTCTGTCGTGTTTACCCTTGCGTTTGTGTCGGCGTTGGCAACAGCCAGCACCACCCCAGCCGCTCCTGAGACACCAGTGTCGAACAAACTGTCGGCGGGGGATTCAAAGGACGACAAAGAGTGGCTGGGGTGGCACCGACCCATCGTCCGCCCTGTCGTCGCCATTCCCGTAGTGCCAATCGTTCCTGTGTATCGCCCAGTGTATCGTCCGGTGGCTGTGGTGGGTCGTCCACTGCTTCGTCGTTGGGAAGAAGGGGCCAAAGCGACAGACGACGAGTCCAAATCTGAGTACGTGGCCGCGGCCGTCGGACGTCGTGGGGGTGCTGTCGTGGCGGCCGGTCCCCGTA